GTGAGGGGCTCATCATCAAAGAATAAACAGAATAAGTCTTTGAACGTTCAATAGTCCTTACAAAACTCTCTCAAAATTCATCATCTTTAACATCTTCAGCAAAATATCTCTAAGAACTGTTCGTAATTAAGTGTCTCCCTGTGAGACAAGAACACCGACACAGAAAACCACATACAGAATCATCAGACCAGTCGTAAAGCTACCAAAAGACGCACGCAAGCTTTAGTAACTTAAATTTGAATTGTTCGGCAATTTCGTTGACATTATAAACCCGTGACCAATAAGTAGCAAAAAATCTCATTTGCGGCCACTTTTAGGGAACAATTCTTGCTTATTGTGTGTACACAAACACAATTTCTGGACTCTCTGTGATTCCACGACGCAACATCTGGCCGGTTATGCGCAGTCTGGTGTTATATTGGCATCGTTTAATACAGCACGCCCTCCCTTTGTCCTTTCTTTCGAGGTACAGTAATGCTTCATATATTAGTGCCTGGTCTCAACTGAAGAATAAACTCTAGCGGCGCGAAAGTCTGGGGGTGCTTTCAGAAGTGCACTGCATTCTTCCAAGACAAAGTTAATAATACGTAATTTTTCTTTTCCTTAGTTTTCGTAAGAATATTACGACACTTGCAACACAAGTAGATCGTGTAAGTGTCAAAGAATAGAGTTACTGAGTAGTATACAAAGAAAGGAAGAAAGAGAGATAAGGACGATCGGTGTTTGATAGGTAAGAAAAGGCAAACCACACAAGTGCGTCCGCCAACCACCCACTTGGGAAGCACTTCGGTCAGGCATATTAAAAGCAAATGAATAGCAATAAAATAGTACACAGTTGGACATATAAACAAAGGAGGCAGGCAGATACAACACACAGGTCGGCGGGCTAAAACGACTAGACAGGGAAGTTCTCACAAAGTGGTACTATTAAGGAGAGCATACGTGTATGCTTTGTTGTTTTGCGTGCAGAATAATCCATGCATTTCACAATATCTTTGCGCACCAGGTTTATGATATGATCAATAACTCGTTAAAAAAAACCCAGTCTGGATGTGGGAGGGGATTTCTCATCTAACAAGACACCAGTCTGAACTTTCTCTCTCTGTCTCTCTCTCTCTGTCTGTCTCACTGTCTCTCTCTCTGTCTGTCTCACTGTCTCTCTCTCTGTCTGTCTCACTGTCTCTCTCTCTCTGTCTGTCTCACTGTCTCTCTCTCTCTGTCTGTCTCACAGTCTCTCTCTCTC